GGGTAAGAGAAAATTAGAAGAATAAACTTGAAAACAGTGTGGATCAACAAATACACAATGAGAGAGATTATGCCACTTTAAATATGTTTGGTTGGGGTGAAACGAAGGGCTGCAAGAGGGACAATATAAAAAGGATAAGCAGTATTCCCCTCATTTGGATAAGTTACTGCAGGTGCCGATGTAAAAGTGAAACAGAATGCTTTACCAGCCACGTCAACTTTGTCAATCCACAGAGGAAGGATATATTTAATTCTATTCCCGCTCTATCAAACAATTGAAAGTGGTTGAAGTAAATACTTCATATTTACTCACTTCATCCAATTTCAGTCAAACGCAAGTTTTTGCCACTAACGAGTTTATCAAATGCAACATGTAATCATGAGGAGCTCAAACTACTTTAACTTTCATGTTTGAGCTTCTACTGAAACACTGAGGAATACGCACTAAAGACCTACCTAGCAGTAAAAAGCAAATTCTGCTGGTCAGTACATCTTGATAATCTCCAGTGGACTTGAACGCCTACTCACAAGGTACCAATTCTGGAAAAAAAATCCAAATCAGCATTAGTGTATTGACAAACAAAAGGCAGCATATAACATGGGAAACCGACTTAAAACTATTTTTCCAATATACAGATTATATCCATATTAAGTGGTATGCAGCAAAGCTGGTAACAGTGAAATTCCCATTTGGAGTTGTATTTAGCTCCTCCAACAGTTAAGAAGTCATTTCAAGGATGAATTACATCAAAAGTTCAGTGCAAAGAACTGATTATGTGGTTAAAGATTGACATTACCACCAAAAGGGAAAGAAGCACAGCATGGTCAGCCAATGTGATTTAGAATCTTAACCTTGCTGATCTACAGAAAAATGACCCCAAAAAAAGAAAAGCGAGTAGCCTTTATATTACGAATTTCCTTAGTAGAGGACTGACCAATCATCAGCACAATTTGACAGAATGAGATGCTGCAATTACTGCTTCACCCTGCATGCACTTCCACCTGCACAGAAACATAATTCGTTGCAAAGCATATTTGTCGGGAGGAAAAAGATGAAGCTAGGAAAATTAATGCAAGGAAATGCAGAAAGCCTATCTGTAATCACAAATAAAGAGCAGTTGCCGAGGTTTGGATCATTTTTCTTCTTTCTTATACCGTTATACGTAATCCCAAAAGCAAGGAGTGTAACAGACACAACTAAGGCAGCTTCTAGGACATCAGAACTCTCTTTTGTTCTTCCCTACATGGTATGGGAATCCCCATTTTCTAGTTCTCATTTCACACTTGTGTTCGCTAGAAAAGGCACCTGCTAAGCATTATAACTTAGTAATTCTACAGCCTACCTTTCTCTCTTTTTTTTAGATCAGAAAGCCAGGATCCAGTTGCTGATGAGCTTTTTTTCTTTCTCTGTTTTTCTTTGTTAATAGAGCACAAAAGAATGGACAAGCAACACCTCATTTTGGTTAAGACTGAAATCATTTACATGCATTGAAAAGCTATTCAAATGAGATATATGCCAAAATTACAGACATCACAGCTATTGTGCATTGTTTCGGCATAGCAACAAGGGTTTTAGCTTCATATACAGAAAAGGGGGAGGGAAGAAATGTTGGGAAACTCCAGTAGGCAATAAATACAGCAAATTATGCTTTGTTAGTAATGAAGGTCCAAAAGATAATAAAAGAGATAGATAGCGAATATTCTTCTGGAAATTAGAGGTGAGATATCAGATATGCTGCCAATAGAGTTGGAATTGAAAACCTCAGTCAAGCAACCGGTGGATGTTGACCTTTTTTTCCTGAGGAAGTAAGATGTTATCAATAAAAAGGCATCAAGAAGATGCATAAGGAGCAAAAGATACAAAAGAGAGATGACTCTTAGCTCTAATACAAGCAGTGGATGCTGACCTTTGCAGGAGCAAACATGGAAAACAAATCAAAAGTGAGTCTAACTAAGGTAGCTTCCAACTTTCCACTGAAAAAAAAAATCCTACTCCTTCCTGCTCTCTCGCATGAGAACTAGGAACAAATAAAATAATATTTTCTAGCTGTGGGAGCTATATGGAGATCAAACACAAAGGAACCTGAATAATCAAATGAGGATACTCCTACAAATTGTTTCAATAATCCAAATTAAGAAATACAGAAGTGATGAGCAATTTCAGCCTCAGAGAGCTGTAGCAGCGCATAATGAAAAAATTTCAGTTTACCAGAAGCTCGACTCTCTCAACACAGTGCTAACCTACTTTTGAAGTAACCTACGTTTTTCAGGAGTTCCAGGAAAGTGGATGAAAGGACAAAGATCAGCAAGACAAAGCTGAATTAGGATTTTCACGCATCTAAAAATGATTCCACTCTCTTTGCTCAAGACTGAACAGGGGCATCCCATGTTGGTGGAGCTAAAAGGTGGAGAGACTTATGATGGGCATTTGGTGGATTATGATACTCGGATGAATATCCATCTTCATGAGATTTGGTTGTACAGCAAATGATGGAAATGGATTTTGGAGAATGCCAGAATGTTATAATCGTGACAATACCATAAAGTATCTTCGAGTTCCTGACGAGGTGGTTAAAAGTTTTGGAAGAAACAAAAAACTGTGCAGCTAGAAAACCACCTGGTGTAGGAAATGAAAGGGAAGAGGTAGGAGGAAAGTGCTGCTTGAAGTCAGGCAAAAGCCATTGGGCATGAAATGGAAAATTCATGTACCAAAGGATGGGACAAAGGAGGACCTGGTGCCAAGTCAGGTGGAAAAAAGTGGAGGCTATAGATGTGGCTAATCATCTTCAAACTGGATATATTGCATCTATTTTTTTTTTTATACTGCAAAAATATTAAGGCGCTTCTTGGAGTGAAAGGCTGCTTCCACTTATTTTTAGTTTGGCATGGAATGTATTTAGGCTTGAAAAGCTCACTTTTAGATTGATCAGTGCTTCTCTCTTTTGAGAGATGAAATATGTAAGCAAGCTCATTTCTTAAAAATATTTGGCAATTGACATGTGTAAATTTAAAAGAAAACTGAGCTAGTTTTCAAAAAACATTCAGTCTCAGGAAATAATAGTAACAACAACAACAACCCAGTAAAATCCCACTAATGGGGTCTGGGGAGGGTAGTGTGTACGCAGACCTTACCCCTACCCCGAAGGAGTAGAGAGGTTGTTTCCGAAAGGCCCTCGGCTCAAAAAAACAAAAAGACAAAAGGACAAAAAGGAGACAATATTAGTATCACAACAGCAATCATAGGAAAAATAGGAACACCATAAAATCCAGAAGAAAGATGCAAAGCAAAGAGAGACAATATTAGTATCACCACAACAATCATAAGAAAAATAGGAACACCATGAAATGTAGAAGAAAGATGCAAAGCAAAGAGAGACAATATTAGTATCACCACAACAATCATAAGAAAAATAGGAACACCATGAAATGTAGAAGAAAGATGCAAAGCAAAAGCGATAGCTAGTAAATAATAGTAAGTCTTTCAGAAATACTCTCCAAAACATTTCCTTTTCTGGATAAACCCAATCTGACACATTTCTACAAACTAAGGCACACACGAAATTTACAAGTTTCACTGATGCAAAAAACACAGAACAAATCAAACATAGATGGTTCTGTGATACTTTTCAAACCAACATTATAAGCAAAATTCATTAACTCATTACATTATAACAATGCTTCAAGCCAAAGTACACAAATCAAACATTGGACCCATTTTTGGCATACACTAGTCTTAGGGTATGCGCTTCGCGTGTGTACCCATATCAATGCCTACATAGTTTTAAAAAAATCATAGATATTATAAGACAAAATCTTTGAGTTATAAAATAAAAATTAAAAAAAAAAGTGTAAGTCTTGAAAACTCTAAAAAGAAAGAAATCTTGCCCCACAAAAGTTCTTAGATGTTTTATTATAATTTCTGAGGACTTATGCGCGAATCTTATGAAAATTGGTATTATTACTATGACCTAATACTTGAAACAAAAAAGTAACACACAAAAAAACTTTATCACGATTCTTCAAAGATTTGTCAAATAACACAAATTTAAAAAATTAAATTTTTTGGTATTTTAAAGATTTGGGAATTAAGAGTTTGTCCCTATAGCTCCTAGAAGAATAGTGATAAGTGACGATGTAAAATTTAAAAGTGACTAAACAGCTTAATGTGTCAAAGAATAGGGAATTGTCATTTATTGGAATGAATGCAAAAGAAAAAGAAAAAGAAATTAATAAAATTTATTTTATAAACATTTTGTCTTCTATTGTTT